GAAAAACTGATTTTTTTTTTTAATTTTTTTTTTTTCAACGTTTATTTATTTTTGGGACAGAGAGAGACAGAGCATGAACGGGGCAGGGGCAGAGAGAGAGGGAGACACAGAATCGGAAACAGGCTCCAGGCTCTGAGCCATCAGCCCAGAGCCCGACGCGGGGCTCGAACTCACGGACCGCGAGATCGTGACCTGGCTGAAGTCGGACGCTTAACCGACTGCGCCACCCAGGCGCCCCGAAAAACTGATTTTTTAATGTCTTTTCTTTCGTGGAGCTTTCTTAGCCTCTCCACAATCCTTCCTAATCCACATAAAGTGGTTTTCATTTCAGTATAAAGCCAAGAGATTGAAGGATCCCACTTCAATGGTTTCAGTTTTGGTTCGAGCTGGCATCAGAGATCGTAGCCACAAGACAGCCCTGTTCAGTGCTCCAAAAGCTGGTCTGTTTTTCACTGGTGAACAGAACCTTTGCTACATACACACACTGATACAACTCCTTTTTTTTTTTTTTTTAAACAGTTTATTTTTCTTAAAGTGATCTTTACATCCTACATGGGGCTTGAACTCACGACCCAGATACCAAGAGTCAGATGCTCTACTGGCTTAGCCAACAGGTACCCCATAACTCCTCTTATATGGGTTAAGAACTTTAAGAATAAAATTCTTTTATGCCTCCCCACCAACTTCAGAAGGAAGTGTGAACTCTTGAGCATGGTTTAGAAGACTCCTCCAGCCTCTTGTTGTGTCCCTCCTACCCACCAAACTCACATTTTCAGCCACATGAAACTGCTTATGGTTCTTTAGACACAATATTCTTCTTTCATATCAAGATTTCTATGGACATTGTCCTCTGACAGGAACTTCTCTCTAGTCCTTACAGGTCTTAATTCTTAGAACCTCTGGAAGGCTGGCTCTGACCTCTTAAAGGTAAGTTGCTCTTTTTATATAATCCTATTCTACCCTGTATTTCCAAAGGACTTGCCACACAGTTTTGTAATGTCTAATTTAATCACACTTTCTTAGACATTAGACTGTAAGCTCTGTGAGGACAACGATGTTTGAATGTCAATCTGTATTTCCAGCACCCTGTACAATGCCTGGCACATGGCAGACTCTCCATTAAAGTCTGCTGAACGGATAGATGGTCCATAGTGAAAGGTGGTTTGTTCTTGAACACTAAGCCTCAATTTTTTGGTGACAACTTCAATGTGCTGCGCTAAGTGCTGGGGATACAAAGATGAGTCAGACAGTCACCACCTTCAAGGAGCTTGAAGTATAAGTGGTGAAGACACTAAGTAAGTAATTATAATGTCACATGGGACGTGTGAGGAAAGAAATATACACATATGTAAAAGAATATGGAAGAGGGAGATCATGTAGGGAGTTAGGGTGGATTTTCTGGAGAATATCTTAGTTGAAGAAGGTTTTAATTCAGGGTTAAAACCTGTATCATGTGCAAATTTGGGGATTATATGTATTTTTCTAGGCAGAGGTTCTAAGGTATTTGTCACATAGTCCAAGGTTTCTACCACCCCTAAACTATTAAATGACTACTCTCTTAAAGGATGAAAAAAAGCAATACGCAGGTAAAAGACAGGGGATGGAGGTAGGAAGGCTGGGCTTTCCTTCCACGTAGGAAAGAATAGGAGGACAGGCACAGAAGTGAGAAAATAGCATGGTATATACATGGGAGTATCCTGGGAATATACATGGGTATATACAACACATGATTGGGTGCTGCTGGAAGATAAAACTCAGAGAAGGAAGCCGTTAAAAATGAGACTTAGGAGGAGCAGGAGACCAATGAGTCAGAGTCCTAAAGGCCACCCGAAGGAGCTTGTAGTCTATAGGTGATGAGTCCTATTTTAATAGGGCAAAGACATGGCCCGGTTTGTTTTATATGGAGCACTTTGGTGGCCACGTGGATTTGAAGGAAACAACACTGTAGAAAGAGAAAGTTTACAGAAGGTTGCTGCAGCAGTCCAGATGATAGATGATAAAGGCCTGAATGAAGACACTGGTTGCTGGAGAGGAGGCAATCGATTTGAGTACTTAGAAGGTTAAATCTGCAGGGAGGAATAAAGCTTGACTTGTCTGGAATACACAATGAAGATTGAGGCCACCCAACTTATATAAAGAATATTGGATAAATAAAAGGTCTGGGAACTAGGCTGGGATATTAAGAGAGGAGTTCACTTGCTAAGTGCCTGAGGGCCATCCAGGTCAACACAGAAGAGATTATGAAGGCAGAGCTCAGATACACCTGAGTTAAAACCATCTAAGTATGTGAGATCACCCTGGAATAGTATGTAGAGTGAGAAGAGCAACATGGCAAGAAGAAACAGTGGAGGGAAGGAATGGGGGAGAAGAGAGCAGGAGGGAGACAGAGAAAGAGTGGACAGAGACTAGACACCAGGAGAGTGGAGTATCCTGAAACCAAGGGAACAGAGTTTGAAGGAGTGTTAAATGAAGCAGAGGGACAATAAAACCAGGACTGAATATTGTTCAAAGGATTTGGTTAACTTGAACGTCAATGCTGACCTTAAGGAAAACAGTTTGGATAGTGAAATGGGGGCAGGAACCAGACTGCAGGTGGGCTGGGGGTGAAAAGGGTAAGGCAAGGGAAACAATGAACACAAATTAACCTAGCAAGAGCCAAGAATGAGAAATACCAACAGCATTTTTCACAAAACCAGAATAATACTAAAATTTGTTTGGAATCACAAAAGCCCTTGAACAGCCAAAACAATCTTGAGAAAGAAGAACAAAGCTAGAGGTATCACAATTCCACATTTCAAGATAGACTACAAAGCTGTAGTAATCAACACCGTATGGGTACCGGTACGAAAACAGACATATAGATCAATGGAACAGAATACAGAGCCCTGAAATAAACCCAAGCTTATATGGTCAATTAATCTACGACATAGGAGGCAAGAATATACAGTGGGGAAAAGCCAGACTCTTCAATAAACGGTGCTGGGAAAACTGGACAGCCATATGCAAAAGAATGAAACTGGACCACTTTCATATACCCTACACAAAAATAAACTCAAAATGGATTAAAGACCTAAATTTGAGACTGAGGTTATTTTTTTTTAATTTTTTTTTTTAATCTTTATTTTTGAGAGACAGACAGAGCACGAGCAGGGGAGGGGCAGAGAGAGAGGGAGACACAGAATCCGAAGCAGGCTCCAGGCTCTGAGCTGTCAGCACAGAGCCTGACGCGAGGCTCGAACTCACAGACTGTGAGATCATGACCTGAGCTGAAGTCGGACACTCAACCGACTGAGCCACCCAGGAGCCCCGAGACTGAGATTATTAAACTCCTAGAAGAAAACACAGGCAGTATCTTTGACATTGGCCTTAGCAACATTTATCTAGATAGGTCTCCTCAGGCAAAGGAAACAAAAATCAAAATAAACTATTGGGACCACATCAAAAAAAGATTTTGGACAGCAAAGGAAACCGCGAACAAAACAAAAAGACAACCTACTGAATGGGAGCAGATATTTGCAAATGATAAACCTGATAAGGGGTTGATATCCAAAATATGTAAGTAATTTATACAACATCCGAAAGGCAAATAATCCAATTAAAAATGGGCAGAAGACCTGAATGGACATTTTCCCAAAGAAAACATACAGACATGTGCCAACAGACACATGAAAAAATGCTCAACCTCACTAATCATCAAGGAAATGCAATTTTTTAAGGGAAATGCAAATTAAAACCACAAGATATCACCTTATACTTGTAAGAATGGCTACTGTTAAAAAGACAAGAAATAACAAGTGATGGCAAGGATGTGGAGGAAAAGGAACCCTTCTTGTGCACTGTTGGTGGGAAAGTAAATTGTGTAAAATGGTATGGAGGTTCCTTAAAAAATTAAAAACAGAAATTCCATAGGATCCATTAATTCTACTATTGGGTATTTACCCAAAGAAAACAAAAACACTAATTCAAAAAGATATATGCACTCCCATGTTTATTGCAGCATTATTTACAAACCCCAGGATCCACAGATAGATGAATGCATAAAGAAGATGTGCACGCGCACACACACACACACACACACACACACACACACACACACTGTGGAATGTTATGCAGCCATAAAAAGGACGAGATCTTGCCATTTGCGACAACACATATAGACCTAGAGGGTATGAGGCTAAGTGAAATTAAGTCAGAGAAAGACAAATACCATATGATTTCACTTATATGTGGAATCCGAAAAAACAAGACAAACAAAAAGCAGAAACAGACCCATAAATTCATAGAACAAACTAAAGCCTGCCAGATAGGAGGGAGTGGGGGGATGCACTGGATGGGTGACGGGGAATGGGAAATACAGGCTTCCGGTTATGGAACGACTGTCACAGGGATGAAGATACGGCCGAGGGAATATAGCCAATGGTATTGTGATAGCAATGCATGGTGACAGAGGGTAGCACAGCAGAACTCCCAGACTGGTGCAATCACCATGCTTTCTTTTGTACACCTGAAACCAAAGTAACATTATGTATCAACTATACTTCAATTAAAAAAACAACACAAAAAAAATTCTGACTGCTCAAAAAAGGCTGGAAAAGAGAAAACATTAGATAGTAGCCTAAGGACAAATGTGGGGAAAGAGAAA